TGTAGAATGCCCTAAACGTAAATTTATATGAACACAACTGATTTCTAAAATAAAAAGTACCAAAAGGAGAAAGACAAACCTCATCATCAGCTTCTGTGTCAGCCAAAATTATCTCATTTTGAAGCTGAAAGATATAAATACTTGTGTTGTTAACTAGACAGTTGCATCCCAGCTGAATTTCTGCAGCTGCTGTCTAGATAGCCTAATTCACAAAAGGCTAAACAAAAGGGTGCAAAAAATCTGACATGTAACTTGTAACTTGTTTTTCCTACATTCAGTGATACAAAAACGTACACCACCAGGTCTGTGCGCCTTGTGATAATAGACTGTAAAAAAAAGCTTGTGTTTCATAAAATAGTTGTGTGAGTGTGTATATATATCAAAGAATTAACATACTTCACCTTAACTGACCACCAATCTAAGAAAAAACAATCCCATAGCAAATGAACTTAAGTTACCTTCTGTAGCATTCCAAACTGCTGCTCACAGTCCTCTAACAACACTGCTTTTGCAGCCATACATCCTGCGTCATATGAAGACGGAGATGACTGCTCCATTTCTGTTTGCTTTGATGGTGCTGGGCTCTACAGATGTGATAAAAGTCAAACAAGCAAGAAGCACCAAACATAAGAGCAGAAAAGAGAAACGCAGATCATACGCAAAACTCCAGCCAGAAACATTCAAACATGTTTTTAACCCAAAACTGATTGTTAGCCGCGCAAGCTAACGGTTTCAAATAACTTAGCGTTAGTTTAGGCGAAACAGTTCTGTAAGTTAGCTAAAGTGAAAAGCTTTCGTATATTTTGTGGCGATATCATGTGGTAAATCCAAATTGCGCAATCATGCTGGAACTCACCAAGTATCGTTTTTCTTTTAAGCAAATTCTACAGACCCAAGTTTAGCACTAAACAAAACCCCAAAACAAAAATACCGCCAGTAACAACGTCATGACGTCACCGCTGGCGTCATACGCCTTGCGTGGACGTTCAATGATTTTGCTACTGCGCTGCTTATGCGCATATACTGAAAATGTTGTATATTTCATTTTCATTAATACATAGGTTTAATCACACCCATTTGTCTGTATATTGCATATGACTTAAAGGAATAGTTGCAATGAATGTAAAACGTGGACCTACGTGAAGCAATTAGCCAACGAACGAGTCATAAAGAACTATATAGTTATATAATAGGCTACTTTTTTTTAAAAACGACACAAAATTCCTTTTAAAAATATAAAAAAAAAAAAAATCTGCCGAATTGAGGTAAATGCGCAAACAAGATCTTGTAACTGCAAAATATCAAGCAAGCACACAAGACTGCAATACAACATGTTCTCCACATGAGGGCAGCAGAATATCAGAACTTGAGCGAGAAATAATTGCCCGATACGCTCTGCATTAGCCTACATTCTACCAGAGAAAGTAAAATTCTACCAAATGGCGAGGGAAAATAGATGAGCCATTCCACCGAATGGGTACGATTTCTGTGACCAGGGCGTATTTATAAATATGCATGATTATAATTATATCTAATACATTTTATTATTAAGAAAAGTGTTCTGAACATTTATTTTCCGGCAAATGTTAAATTTAAAACATTAATAAAAACTACTGAGAATACTGGAAATAATTTGTTACATGTTCCAAACCTTTCTTAAAAGGGTTAATTATTCAGGGTTACCTGAATTAGCCTATTAAAATGTTTCAGAAATCGTATTTTTTATTTTTATTTTTTTGTTTTGTATTGTTGTGTGACTTAACAATTGTTGTGTTTTTTAATTTTATTTTATTATTTTTTTCATAAGAAATCCATAATATGTTAGGCTATATATAAAATAGGCGTATAGGCCACATTGTTTTCACTCAATCCACCCTTACAAATCGCCCCTCTAAAAAACTTGGAACAAGCCATATTTTCATCTGGATGTTGCATAATCTGTCTCTTATTCAGCCTGCAGGCTATGTGAAAACCAAAGTAAGTCCTCTCGTTTTGATTTCTGTTGATGAAATTCTAACTTTGACTGAGAAGGTCTAACGTAAATTTTAACTATTAACTATTTGCTTAAAAAAATCAAACCTGTTACTTTCAGTTCTTGTTACTCATATGAAAAATAACAGGACTGAGTTAAAGTAACAGGGGGGAGTCCTCTGTTTTGTTTATTTAATAATTAGTTGATGTAATAATATTCACCAGAATTTTTAGTTTATAGTTACAATTAAATTGTAGACATATTTTTACAATGTGAATACCATACTTCCAGGGAGCCAGTCAACCACGAAGTGATTTCAACTTTTAGTTTTGGTCTTTCTTACCTATATCTGTAGAAGATAGAGAGAACCCATGGTGCCAGAAACACCCATGGCATTCTGCAAGGGAAGGACCAAGACTCCCCCCCTTTTTTCTACCTTCCCTCTTTCTCTTACCTTCCCTCTCCATTTCTCTCTCTTCTATTCTCTCTCTCTCTCTCTCTCTCTCTCTCTCTCTCTCTCTCTCTCTCTCTCTCTCTCTCACACACACACACACACACACACACACACACACACACACACACACACACACACACACACACACACACACACACACACACACACACACAGAGACACTTATTCCACAGTGTTCATTCCATTTTTTTCTTCTTCTAAAAAAAAAACACTGTTCTTATCCGTTTTATCAGGTCCATCATTTATAGGCTACAATTGTTTAATAAAAGTAAATTGTATATAGGCTATATATATAAAAAAAACTTTTTGACTTACAGTAAAATGGCTTGGTGTTTTTTATTACAGTAAAATACGCCTTGCTTCTAGTGATTTAAAAAAAAAAAGATGTCTCAAATATAAATTATTTGAACATATAGGCTATACCAACAATTTCTTTAAAATAAATACTTTCTTGAGGGTAAAACAAAGTAGGCTAATTGTTACTAAAATTATCTTAAATTAATTTCAAATTTTTAAAATCTTCACGGCTACTGACATTTTTTAAGACATCTGCTTTAAACTTTACAATGCTCAAGATAACTTTCGTTAACTCTATAGCCTAAGTAAATCCACGTCACCAGCTAGACTGCTAGCCTGCAGCGATGCGATAGAAATATAAATATAGAATATAAAACACAGCGACCGCAAAAACGGAAGTTCAAAGACAATATTCTAAAGATGGCTACATGATCGCTTATTGTTTCTCTACGCACAAGCTATATAGCCTGGTGTCTCGCTATGTGTGATAGCATAGCATTTTATTATACGGCATTATGCATATGCGGACTATTGGAAATAAAATAACAATAAGACGATGAATCCATTTTTCTTAATTTTGCTAAATAACTTAACAGCCTGATCTTTAATTAGACCATCATAGTTTTATACCTCCATCGATTCAAAATAATAATAATAATAAGATTGTAATCAGATCTATAAAGTCTAAACCAAACACAGCCTAAATATAACATGCATTTGAAATGTAGCAAAAGTATCCCACATGAAGGCGGGGTGGGTGGACAGGTCAGATTGTGACCATATGTATGACCACAATAACATTCTCTTGGACTTACTCTTAATCTTCCTCTTTACAAAACAAGAGGATAAGCATTTATTACTAAGCAGTCGTTGGCCTGCTGTTGTTCCTTGACACACCTGCTAGTGACAACAAACTCAATGTGTCTTGTTTTTAAAGCTCACATGCACGCTCTTTAGCACATTATCCAGATTTTTTTTCTTCTCGTTATTAATCTCCTCAAAGTCAAATAGGCTCAAGGTAAGGAGGCAAGAGAATTCAGCTTTATAAACAAAAGACCCCCTTTTAGCAAAGCTGTCATGAGGGTCTTGTTTTGAAAGCTTAACGAGTCCCTTCCTTAACATGAAAAACTCCAACAAAATGAGGACGTTTTCTTTAACTAAAAAGTCCCCCCACACAAGTCTAACAAATCATTTGAAATCCCCAAAAGGGGGACGAAAGTCAGTGCCTCGCAAAAAAGAGAGAGAGTTTCATTGTAATTCATTGACTTGTTCAAAACGCCAAGCTAAAGAGGCGAGAAGAAAAGAGCGGACATTCATGGGTACAGATGCTTTCTCGAGGAGAGACTCCAATGTATGGCCTTTGTTCGCGCTGCGTTAAACTGTTTAAAAGAGGGGTTAACGCAATCCATCAAATTGTCTGAAATTGTGTGAAAATTTCAGAAACCATATGGCCTCTAAACGTTCGCGTCTTTTTTATGTGGCTGGACACACTTGTTTCAGTATGGTGAGCCGCAGGAGTCCAGCCATGCGCCATTGTCGCTTGTCACATCAGGGTGGATGGCTCATTTGTCCTCAGCTTTCATGCTTTACGCTGGAAATTACAGCTTCATCCGTGAACAAAAAGGATTATATAGCCCTGGAGAAACTGGACCAAAACTTGGTGTTTTTGTGTCTTTCTTCTCCTTTTTTTTCTCCCCAGCGCCCCAGATTTGTGTTTCTCACATAAATTTCGCCCAGAATGGAAAAACACACGTTGTTGGGTCAAAAGCCAAGTCACGCTATTGGAGGCTGAAAGAGAGAGAGGAGCAAGGCAAGGGCTCTCTGTTTCTTCTGCAGAGAGCAAAAACAATAGCGTTAAAGGGCCAAGAATGTTTTTATTCCTTTTTATTCTCCAGGAATGAAATCAAGGCAGTTAGCACTTGAGTACGAAAAAAAGTACGATGCTCTTGGTCGTCGTGCACAATATAATTTCTGTCAATAAATGTTTAACATCTGAAAATATTTCTCAGGTTTTTTTTATTAAAAATTTCACAGCATCGTATGTCAAATATAATTGAGCAATAAACTGCACTACAAGCCATAAAATTCAGACTTTTATTTTTGTAGGCTACTAGCCTACTATTAAGAATCACTTAATACACAATTAGCTTAATGCAAAGGAAAATTACTATATATTCTTATCTTATTTTTATTTATATTTATTTATTTATTTATTTATTTAGGCTATCAATGTTTTGTAAGAATATGACGATTGCTTACAGACAATACAGACTCGGCAACAGATTTACAGACTCGGCAACAACATCATTATAAAAGGTATAAATAATGTTTTTATTTTCAAACTCAATACATTAAACAACACATTGGTGCAATGCCCTAATTTTGAAAGGCACTATCTTGCATGTAAACTGTACAAAACTTTACAAAAATCAGTCACTCTCGACTGTGTACAAATGAAGAAATAAATACACTTGTAAAAATAGTTTTCTCATTAGGAAGTTGTATTGCTCTGTTTGTTGTCCTGCTTTATGAAAAATTATCTTATTACACTCATTTATTATAAACAATTTATTATACAGCTGCTAGCTCAAACACTATATTGAACAAATAGGAGAACACAGTCTGGCTATAAATTAAAGTTTCAGAAAACACTACAATCATTTATGTTCATGCATGTGTGTTGTTACGCACTGTAACAACTTGAAATATGAGTCTTTAAAGAGTTTAAATCGTTGTTTACATCAGATATCAACGTCTATTTCCACGTCTTCGTCTTCGGAGTAGTCTTGACTTGTGTGGTCCGAGAGAGACGACATGGGGGACAGACACAATTTGTGCACACTCTTGTACTCCTGACCTAGCCGTGGCGAGCACTCGGGCCCCGTGGCTCCAGCTGCACACCTCTCCAGATCCGCCAATTTAGTGAGTTTGTCCAGAGGCACTACTACACCCGTGGATCTGACCGACTCCACGTCCGCTTTCATCTCCTCCAGGTCTCGCTTTAATTTTGCCCTTCGGTTCTGGAACCAGGTTATGACCTGCGCATTTGTCAGCCCCAGCTGATGGGCAATTTGGTCTCTGTCTGCAGGGGACAAGTATTTCTGACGGAGAAACCTTTTCTCTAGTTCATATAACTGGTGGTTGGTGAAGGCCGTTCTAGATTTTCGGCGCTTTTTAGGACTGTCCCTTTGACCAAATACAGTCAACCCATCCCTTCCTGTCGAAGAAGAAGAAAAAAAAAACAAGAAAAAAAAACGTTATGATCCAACACTGACAAATTTTATGTTACATTAATTATGGCAGCAGAACATGTTGTTTTAGAATATTGCTAATAAAGAAATGTAGCTAGGTCTATTTACTTTTGATACGATTTTTAACTTGATGCGACAACAGATTTAAAATTCTTTTAAACATGAATCAATGACTATTAATCAAAATGACTTAGTTTTCCATGCCACGATGTTTAAGTCATTTTAAATTAAATGGCATTGAACTGACTTTTTAAAAAATGAGTTGAATCTTGCATAACTTGCATAAAAAATTGTTTTGATGAGTTAAAGCAATGTAGGCTAAAACATGTGTTGTCATAACTTATTCGTCACTTTTTTACTATTTGTGGGCCTACATTAATTTTGAATTATTATTATTATTTATTAATTTGACAATCTAAAACTTAAATTACACGTCGTCTTTTCTTACCCTCTGCTGCATGGAGCACGCCTAATTCGAGACCTTTGAACGTTTTGCTCGCCAGCTCCTGCAGAGCACACAGAGGCGATGTTTGAGTGATGAGAGTCTGCCTTGATATAGTGATGCTCTGCCGGGCTCTCTCTGATGCTGGAAGCCGGTGAATCCTGTGAGGTCGTTTGACACTAGGTTTGCTGAGGATGTCTGCGATACTGAAGGGCGTTAAGGGCTTGTTGGAACTCGCCGGTGGTGGAAGGTGGTCCAGGGGGTTCATCCCACGCCTCTCCTCGCACATTTTGACAACTTTGGTGGTCGTCATCCAAGCCTTTTCCAATCAGCTTTGGTTACAAAACTTGTGTTTAAGAGAAGTGCAGCTATCAAATTAGTAGTACACAATCACTTTCTGTCCAGTTTTCCAATAATCTTGCAGCACGTGATTGATGCCCAGCACTGCCCAGCTACAATCGTAACGTCCAACGAGTTATTATCTCACCAAGCTTCACCATCCAACAGCAAGTAGCAGCGAGTCTTGTGCTTTGACAGCTCTGTAGTTCTGTAGAGTCCTGGAGACTGAGTAGACTTAGTGATCACTTAATTAACTATGACGGAAAGGCGGAGTCGTGTAAAGTGATGAAGGTTTGTCTTTGGTGGCTGTTGTTTGCCTTCTACACAAGACACGAACAGTCCTAAGCGAAGCATCATAGTTGTTTTATGCATAATTAAATTCTAAAGCTCATTAAAAGTGAACAACTGGTGAGATATTAATATTAAAAAGCATTCGAGACATTTTTTTTCAATCAATAATCAATAAACGTGTGCACTATTTTATTTATTATTGAGAAATAAACATTGTTTACGAAGCAGTCTGATATTACACCAAATATAGCCTATTTAGCACATAAGTCTGTGTTATTGTTCTCATAAGATAAGGAGGGAAATGGTTTTGTGCCGTTTGAGTCATGTTAGAAATGCTAAGAGAGAGAGAGATAGAGAGAGTCGATATTTTTAAGTGAGCCATGCATTTTCTATTGTTATGCGATCGCGGCTTATTGGCCTACAGTATTAATTATTATGTAATTACATAAAACATATTGACATTTGAAATGTGTCATTTTATTTGTTATCCATTTAATATCGGAACTCGTGCCTTTGTCCTGAGTTCTAAGTAGGCAAAATATTAAATATTATTTCCCGATCCTTTAAATCTTAACCAAAGTGATTTCCCCCCTCATTATTATGTAAAATTAAAAAGCGCTGCAAAAAAGTCTGAAAGTTCTATAAGGTCAAAACTTTTACCAAGATCCTGCCAAACATGCCACCTTGTAAAAAAAGAACTTAATTTATTAAGTTCCCCAAATAAATACCCTTCATTCCCCATTAAAGTCATTTCTGAATTAAAACAAATAGTATAAGGTAATTAAAAAATCATTAAGATAACGTTTAAGAAATATTGATTCTCAACTTCAGAGGTTAATAGAAGTGGTCCAAGATATGCCTAACAAAGATCAATCTGCTCCTCCAGTTAGTGCCCATGCAACTTTGAATATATATGCAGACTATAGAGCAAATTGCCATTGGATAAAGAAAAAGGGAAAATTAGGACAAAGGTTGGGCTTAATTAGTTTATTACCATTATATGAAGCTTTTTATTTCAATGTGGAACTATTGGGGTCTTGTGAAGAAATGAAGAAAACTGAAATCTCACAGTTCTCCTATTAATATAGAGCACAAAAAGAGCACAAACTTTAACTTTGACAACAGACATGACTGTTTAATTTGAGAGAGCGAATCAGTCATCCAATGAATATCATTTATTCTTTTTTCTTCAAACAACAGACACAGCAGACACACTCTATTCTTGCAGCTTCTGCAGGAAACATGAATTAGCCCGTCAATGCACTCTGACTGTTGAGTTAATGGCAGTCTTGACCTCTGGCTGCCTTCTTTGTTTACTGTTTTTTCTTTATTAACTGGGACTACAAAGCCTATAACTCTATCAGAGTAAATTGTGTTTTAGTGACATTAAGCCTAGCACTCATTAGAAGAGAGACAAGAATACAAAGGAAGGAATTTACACCAAATATCTTGCATTGTTTCAAACAGGCTTTATGTTAAAATTTGGTTGAAATGTATTATAGTTGGAAGATTAATCAATCTAAAAATATTCAAAATAATCAAAATTGTGTGATCTCCACATATTGTATAATAGGGAAATTATAAACAGCCTGGGTGTGATTAAAGATCATCTGCCTAAATTAAATCAGCTGAGTCCTTCAGAGAGAGTGATATTTATAAGTCATAAAACGGCTGATCTGAAGAGCTATATGAGGCAAATATGGAGGCAATAAATAGAGGAATAAATAAAAGTGTCAAATATAGATAAATAATATAAGAACCCATTGAAATCCCATGTTTAAAATGACTTATGATTAAAAAAAAAAAACAATTGTGCAATCTCATACGTGTGAATGTGATAAGGTGAGAGTTGGAGAGATGGAGGAAGTGGAAGGTGAACTGTATCCAGTATCTAAGAGAAACATGAACTTGTGCTAATCCACTAAATCCCACCCCTTAAAACAGACCACCTTCAATGATTATTAAGTTACATAAGAATGTGACATTTTTGACCAAACGTTCATTTCTGTGTAATACAAGCGTTTCATCTCACAGATCATTAACAGCCTTGTCTTGATAGAGCCGCCACCATGCGGATTGGTTAATACTCTATATGAAAAGTGAATCTGACTTTTTAAGAAAGATACCTCATCAACTGATAACTAATGCAATTTCCTAAACAATAACTAATGTTAAATCCATTGTCTTTTTTAGACTTTTTTCAATGTTTATACAACGTTACAAAGGAAGAATATGAATTAGATTGCTCAAGAATGCCTTTATGTGTCTGCTGATGTGAAAATGAAGACACTTTCTATACTTAAAATATGAATGGATTTTGAATAGCTTGCAAAAGCTTCGCACAAGTTTCCAAAATAAAAACAAAACTGTTTTGATGTATATTATTATTTAACAAACCTTTAACAGTTAGTTACTATTACACTGTAAAATATTTTCATGATTTGTAATCACAACATTTTTTCTTTTGTCAAATCAACTTATGTTACATATAGCTACTTATGTTATAACATAATTTATGTAGTTCAGATAACATCATATTTAGATTTTCCGGTGATTAAATTAATCTCCTTCATTGTATTAACTATTTTTTTTCCATTTCAATGAACTTAAAATTTTAAGGTAACCAGGTTACTTATTTTTTAATTTAAACCAACAATATTTTTTTTTACTGTGAATAAATGCCAGCATTTCATACATTTTCATGTGAATCTTAAGTGATTTAATCTTCCAGTTATGCGGTAAACAGCTGTAAAGTGTGTGTGCTGTAATTTGCCTTCAGTTCAGAGTATCAAAATGTTGGAATAGTCACAAAGAAACAAAGTTCCCAAAAGAATGAGAGCTTCAGTCGAATTTAATTATCCTCATCACTGGTTACATTCAAAATGATCAAGAAAGTACAATGAACTTATCAATGTGGTTTAAATGCCAGATTCAACAGTTTCCTGAACACACACACTGCAGAAAAGTTCACTATGTGAAATTTTCAGTTTTGTTCAAGGTGATCAAATCAATTAATTATTGAACAAATGAAAGCGGATAAAGGATTTAGGGTAAAGATGGAGGCATTTTACTTGCAAAAGCCCAACAATGGCATCACCAGTGTTGGTTGAAAGATGCCTGCAGTGCAAATCGTTTTCCATTAGCGAGGAAGAAGGGTTTTGTTTATCTTTGCCATATCAATTTTTTTTTCTTTTGTATATAACAATGATATACCTACTGTACATATACTCATAGTCAGCTCCTGCAGGGTCTTGTGCCCCATGCAGGTGGAAATGCCTTTATTTGCAACATGATTTTTATTCAGAACAAGCTATTATGATCATTTCTTGTCACACAAATTGTATCTGTCTTTCGTAAAATAGATGTTTTGTTATATTTTATTATTTTGTAAAACATATTTTATACAACTAAATAAAATTACAAATTAAATAACAAATTACAACTAAAGAAAATTACAAATTAAAAAATTACAATTAAAGAAAATTACATTGTTGTTATTATTAGTAGTAGTAGTGATAATAGTTGAAGTGTGTATTTATTTATATATATTGAAAAATGTATTTATATCAAGGAAAATAATTAATATTATTGCACTTTGTAATGTTTGTAATATTTGATTGTAGCACTTTAAGAACAGGATATCATAAAGGTCAGAGATCAATGTTTTTGACTGTTATTGTGAACAAACAGGCCAGGCTTATGTTGAGGGTCACAACCTTCAGATTAGTCACAGTAACATTAGCCAACGGAGATGGGGTAAAATTACACATATCTATTAAATTAAAAGAGAATAAAGCACATTACTGCAAACACTGGAACTATACAGAAAACACATACTAGTATTACAATGTGCATTGTGGTGGATCAGTTTTAGTTTAGCACAGAAAAACAGTAGCCTAACATTTAATTTAGAAAACATACTGGATTTGAAAAATCAGTTTAAAAACAAATAACAGTAAAAACATGAGAAAAATTTTGAGATTTCTTGACTCCAAATTAAATGTGAATATGTGTAATGGCTTCAGGCCTAACAAATAATTAGATTCTAAATCAGTGTAATTAAAAGGTTAAATCACAGAAGAAAGAAAAGCTCATCAAAAGTGAAAAAGAGATTTTAATACCATTAAATAATGAATTGAAGCAAGGAACATTAATGTAATTGTGTATTTCCCCTGAAGGTAATGGTGAATGGGCTGGAAATTTGAGAGGTAGGCCTATTTTTTTTTTTACTTTGGTGAAAACAACAGACTGAAAAAACAGATAGGCTAGATTATTGATGCAGCGATGTCAAAAACCCAGAAATATGTGCCTGTTTATCGATTAGGAGATCAATATTTTTTTCTCTTATATTAGCCTAATAAAATATTCATATATTAACCATGTTAATTATATTAATTCGATGATAATAAAATTAATTTGAATCAAATTCGCATCATTTATATGACGAGCAAGGTTAGCCTTGATATCACCCTAAAAAATGCTGGGTTGTTTTAACCCAATTTTGGGTCAAATATGGACAAACCTGAAATGTTGGGTTAAAAATGTAATGTAAATATTTAACCCAACGGCTGGGTTAGTCCATATTTGACCCAAAGTTGGGTTAAAACAACCCAGCATTTTTTAGAGTGTAGGCTTTCAGACAGGCTTTTATTGGCCTAATTAAAATCAGATTTTTTTTTTAAAATAAATATTTTATTAGATTTTTTATAGGGTAAGTTACTTTCGTAATGACAACCCCCTGCCAGGCCTGAACAAAACCTCTCGTGAACAGTAAACGGAAAGCATGCGAGTGTGCGGCGGTTTATTGAACTCTGTGCCGCTGTCTTGAGGATTCACTAACATAAGTCTGCCACCTACTGGAGAGACGAGGAACCTAAATAATTTACGATGATTCTAAAACTGAC